AGGGGGGAGGGAGGCAGAGAAGAAGGAAGAAGGGAAGAGCTAGAAACTAAGGCAAAAGGATATAGCCATGAACATCCAAGTCAATAGAAGAATATCTCAGAAATGAATTTAAAAGATGAATACATAAAGATGTTCATCAAATACTTTGAAGATAAAAATAAATGAAACACTTTACTGAGGCAAAAACATACTGTTCATATACTTATCAAGTATATTAAAATTCAGGCCTATATTCTGTAGGTCTGAGGATGAGAGAACCAATCTAGTCCTGCAAATGAGAACAGGAAGTGGTTTCACTGGCAATAAAATGCATCACTTAGTAGGAATTGGGAAGGATGTCTGCAGGCTTGTGGGTGTGGACAATTAGACAAGCAATGTGACATGACGTCACATGTAGAAGGGCAGAAGTGTCTCTTCTAGCTAGAAATCACCAGTTCTGGGCTCTCCTTCAGTCCTGTTATTTAAGTTCCTATGTGGTTTACAGTAAATTATTTAAACTCTTTTAATGCATCAGAAATGACGATACAACCACAGTTAAGCTCTATAGTCCATCTGAAACTCAATTTAGAAAAGCATTTTGAATGAAATAGTGACATGGTTTTCCATTTCTATTTGACTAAGTTTGTTTTCAATGTACTTAAGGTGAGTTGAGGCTAAACATGTATATTTCAAATACGGTGGATCGCTCCATATTTGCGGCGAGTAAGAAGAGATGTAGATAGAGAATTCTTGCTAATGGGTTCTTCTCTTGGGGTCATTCTTCATGTTCTAGGGAAAATCTGTGTGAAAAAATGTGAGAATACAAAGCCCACTGGATAGGGGAGGAGGGTGTTAATCAAGAACAAAATTAAAGCTCTAGGAAATTGCACAGCCTACATTCTGAATTTTGTTTTCTTGACTGAAGTTAGATATTAAAAAATAAAAATACTGCCCAGCCGGGCGTGGCTCAGCAGTTGAGCATCGACCTAGGATCCAGGGGATCGGGGTTCGATTCCCAGTCAGGGCACATGCCCGGGTTGTCGGCTAGGGAGCCGATCAATGACTCTCTAATCATTGATGTTTCTATCTCTCTCTCTCCCTCTCCTTTCCTCTCTCTGAAATCAATAAAGATATATTTTTAAAAAAGAAACACTAAGTACTGTGGGATTCAACATCAGGAAAGAGAGAGCAACCAAAACTGATCAGTATTTTTTCCATTTAAGTCGATTTGTTAATTGGGTTAGGATCCTACTGCTAAAAGACTAGGACTGGTGAAGATTAGTTTATTTTTAGATAGTTGTTATAAAATTCTCCAGTGCTTCTTTCAGACTGGAGTCCAAAGAAGGGTAAATGTTTTTTAAAGTAACAAAAGGTTAAAATTTCTTTCACATTGGCGGCTTTGTTCTCATGAGCAGAGAGTTCGATTTGAAGACATCACATCTGTGCTCTGTTCCTTGCTGTACACCACGACTAGCTTCCAGGCCTCCGGCTTCTATCGGAGGAAGTTTTACCTTTCCCAGCATTAATGTATTGTGGTTGAGCCCCTTATAACTTTAAAACATATACCACAACCTCATACATGTATTCATTTCAAACTATTTACCAACTCACTATTTTTTCTTCCATGAATAATGCATAAGAAAATGAAATAAATGGAATCAGCCTCTTAAAAACAAAACTGAAAGTGAAAAACTATCCTTGCAGAACACCTTTCCAATCAAAGTCAGATGACTGGGAAGGACCAGTGACCTATCCTCCAACATTTCAATTCCTCCATTTCTCTTAAGACCCATCCCTTTGTCTGCCTTGTGTTGTTGTTGTTCTACTTGTGTTATTTCCTTTTCTTAAGTCTTAAATTCCTTGAGAGCACTGTATACGCTTATTCCATCTTTGATTACGCCCCAGGGCCAACCTCAGTGTCCTGCGGATGGTGTATATTCAATAAATTTTGCTATCATTCTTCTTTTTACAAAAAGGATTGTCCTACTTCATAGATAAGGAAATTGAAGAATTAACAAGACTTGTTCAAGGTCACACAGTAAAGGAGAAAGTGGCAATTTGCAAGGTTGCTTCATGGTCTTTATCATTCTATTATATGAGCCTATAAAATCATCCCCATCATTAAGTTACTTTGTCAGAGAACTTTAAGTGAAAGCTCCCAGATTTGGCTGGCTACACGTGCACGACTTCGGGCCATTCACTGCAAAGCCACAAACCTCTGAGATCACTAAAAGTTTTATTTCCAGTTTCACTGGGATGTTGGACTGTACTTACTCAAATCTGCCTCAAAGCACAATGTTGTCAACTGTCACAAGGTGGATATGGCTGGGCTGCTCTATCCAGTATTTGGTGGAAGGCTTCCAAAAAAGTCCAGGTAATGCAGGAAGTGGCAGGTGACTCACTGTTAGTCACCTTCATTCTGAATCATTCTCCGCCAAACTGCTCAAGACAGTAAGAAAAAGACAGCTAGAACATCATGACCCCAGGGAATTTTGAAAGAAGCCACTTTGGCTTTTCTCTAATTTTCCACACTCTTCTCTTGCTGCCTCCCTGACCCTGCCTTCCCTTCAGGTTGCCCAACCTGGTCACCACCATTCTTGTCTTCCTCTTATTCAGACTGTCTCTCCCAATTCTTTAGGGCCAGGTATTAAACTCCTAGGAAAGAAGCTCTCACTCTTGGTCAAGGCAATCTCTTCCTAGCCAAGCAACATGTTTTCATTTAACTAGAGCCTTTTCAAGTTAATGCCCATTTTCATGCTCTAATCCAAAGGTGACAAGTAGGTTTCATCTCATGTGTTAATTGCAGCTGATTGGCAGTGGGGCCTGGGTTGCTGAGCAGTTAGAGATGCTGAGGTCATACCTGGGCTCAGTGGTGAAGAGGGTTTAATAGATAGTTGGTGCTCTGGGCGTCTTCCATGCATTTGTCATCCCTGACCTCACAAGAAGGGCTTTCAATGGTAGACATCTAGAGAGGGGCAAGAGGAAAGGAATTACCATAGCAGTCCAGTGTGACTGGCGTATTTAAGTAGATCAGACTCTGTGGCGTTCTGCAAATTATTTAACTCAAGAATCTTCAGACTCCACCACATGCAAGGTTAGTTTAAGCCAGAAATGCTATTCAGCAGATATAATGTTCTTATGAGGTTTTAACTCACTTATATTATCTAAAGCACTGAGGGTTTTATTTTTGTTTCATTCATTTATTTTTGTTTCAAATATTTATATTGTTTTATTCAAAAGTAAAGGTTGAGACTCTATCTTTTGGTCCTAGTTATAAATTGGTTAAGTACTTACTGTCATCCCTCCCCCACTGAGTCCCAACTACACAAATTACTTTTAATTTCCCTTTCTAAAAACAATGTTATCTAATGTCATTGCCTAGCTACCACGTACCACTAAGCTGAAAATACTGCAAGAGTTGGAATCAACTTTGATTTACTATGTATTCACAGAAATATAAATATTTGAGAAACGAATGAATTCCCTCCTCTACCTTACAGATCTGATGTGCTTCCAAACAAATACAGGAGGTATATTTTCATAAAAAGACTCATAACTTTCATTTTTCTTCTGTTTAATTTGCAGAGGTGCTAGAGGCACCTCTGACAATGGCAGAGCCATAGCTACCATGACAAAAGTCTGTAAGACTTTTGTACTTGTCCTTAAAATGGAGGCTGCTTCAAAGCCTGTCACTTTGGAGTCTGCCAAAGTGACCAAAGTGACCATTGCCAGTGGATCCAAACCACAACCAGCAGCTGAGAGCTCCTTGCCTCCACTCTCAGAGCTACAACATAGTCACCGGGTCACCGGCAGTACCAGCAGTGCAGCCTCTAGAGAAGCCAACGACAGCCTAAGAAAGCCTGGAAAGTGGAAAAAATCTATCTTCATTGCTGGCCTTTTGCTGTTATCCAAAAAAGACTCTAAGCTCTGTGAGGGTGGAAACCACAACTATCTTGCTCATTTTTGCATTCCTAATTTATAGCACAGTGTAGGGTACATAGCTGGTACTTAAGAAATCACTGTTGAATGTGTAGAGGATGGATGGAAGGATGGATGGATGGATGGATGGATGGATGGATGGATGGATGGATGGATGGATGGATGATGGATGGATGATGGATGGATGATCGATGGATAGATGGATGGATGATGGATGGATGGACAAATGAATTAATATTGTTCCCTCCAATTGCTTTATGTTAACATGTTGGCATGAAACAAACAACAAGCACACAGATGGCTGTAGTCAGGGAAAACATTAGATAATTTGACACAGGAAGTAACTATCAAGCAAATGATTTTTTTTTTTCTTCATAAAAGGAGAAGCCTTTTTGATGTAGCACTTAACCTGAAAGTTGTTTTCTTCCTGTGAGGTTAGGGCAGTATAACACATTGAAAAGAGAGTAAAGAAATTCCTGGGTGTTCGCAGGCAGCTGTAGAAATCAGCATTGGAGAATTTTCCTTGGAGAATGGTTTCTTACACTCCAATAATGCTTGAATCTGTACAACAGCAAAGAGGAATGGACATACCCAGAGCTATATAAATACAGTTCATACAGACTCCTACCCAGAATCTCAGTGCAGAGTACTCTTATACTACATTGTCTATACATAATTTATCAACCCTGAAAATAAGAAGTCACTACTCTAGGGTGCATCGGTGGGGGAGACAGGGTGGATATTGGGCATAAAATATGAATCAAAAAGAGGTTCAGCAAATAGTGTTGGGCTAACACATATTTACTCTTAAGTATTTTTAGCTATAGTTTTGTACTGGTAAATCAGTCAAAATGAATATAGTACAGAAACAACTTATTGAAGTATAATTTACATACCATAAAATTCACCTGTTAAAAAGTATACATTTCAATTTCATAGTAACTCCATGCAGTTGTACATGAAGTAGTGATTACAGCATAGTTTTAGAACATTTCTATCACTTTCAAATTTTCTCTTACCCCATATGCAGTCAATCCCCACTTCCATGCTTAAGCCAGGTAATTACTGTCCTGCTTTTCTGTTTCTGTAGATTTGCCATTTCCAGAAATTTAATATAAATAGGATCATGCAAGATAATAGTCTTTGTGTCTGTCTTCCTTCAATTTTCATGATGTTTTTGAGGTTCACCGATGATATGCATACATCAATAATTTGTTTCTTTTCATTGCTGAATAGTATTCCATTGTATAATACCCATTTTGCTTAACCAGACAATGGGCACTTCAATTGTGTCCATTTCTTAGCTATTATAAATAATGAGTCTATGAGCATTTTTCTACAACTTTTTGTGAACATATTTATTTCTCTTGGGTATATACCTAGGAAAGGAATTGCTGAGTCTTTAGCTAAATTTATGTTTTACTTTTAAGGCACTGCCAAATGATTTGCATAAGTGTGTGCACCATTTATATTCTCACCAGTAATGTGTGTGGCCTCCAGTTTCCCACATCTCCTGACCTTGATAAAGTCAGCCTTTTGGAGCACAGCCTTTTGGAGCACCAGTGAGTTTATGGTGATATCTCATTGTGGTTTTTAATTTGCATTTCCCAAACCAAGGATGTCGAGCATCTTTTCATGTGTTTATTAGCCATGCAGATTGCTTTTTAGTGAAATGTCTTTCAAATCTTCTGCCCATTTTTAAATTGGTTTGTCATCTTATTGAATTGTCAGTGTTCTTTTTTTCTAGACACAAGTCCTTCAGCAGATGTATGACTTACAAATATTTTCTCCTAGTCTGTGGCTTGTCTGTTCATTCTCTTAATGGCACTTTTTGAAGAGCAAAAGTTTTTAATTTCAATGATGTCCAATTTATCTTTTTTTTTTCTTTTATGAACTGTGCTTTTCATGTTGCATCCATATTTTTTCCTTTTTTGGTTTGGTTTTTATTTTCTTTTTTTTTTTAGTTCATTTCTTTGTACTTTATATCCATATATTTCTAAAGTTGTATCTTTATGTTGAAATTAAACTTAATCAGCATTTCATAACAAAGTGTTTATCTAATTACACTCCTCTTTCTTTCATAAAATTACATGTTAAAAGAGCCCCACTGGGAATTTTTAAAGTGAGGTGAACTCATTTGGCAATTTCAATAAATATTATGATGCCCCAAAGGTCAGATAATAATAGTGATTTCTCACTAAGGGCTTACTATGCCTGATAATGTTTTAAGCTCTTTGCTGGTATTAACTCATTCAATCCTAACGCTCATGTAGTAAGTATAATTACTATCACCACTCTAGAGGTAAGCAAACAGAATATTTAAGTAAGTTGCCCAGAAAATGGCAGAGCTGAGAGTCGAGCTGGCAGTCTAGCCCCTAAGTCTGCCTGTACTCTTAACCACTGCCTCTAAGCAACTTCCCCTACAGAATGACTCCCCAGATAAGACCTGTTTCTGTGGGGATATGTGGTGGGTGTCTAACATAGTGTCACCCCAGCTCCTCTTCTCTGGAAATTGCCTAGTCTGCCCATGGGAAGGGTTCCTGTTTCTGTGGTGTGACCTTCCCACTGCACCCATCCCTTCCCCGCCCCACACACAGACATTGCTGATTAAGCCAACTGTGAACAATAACCTAAACTGAGCATATATTGTCACTCTCACTTGGTGCTTAAGAAACAATGGAATTGGGAGCCACGTCAAGTCACTGGACTGCTACAGGCTGGGACTTCTACCAATGGCGACTGTAGTCCCAGGGCCTTCCTTGCCTTCTCCCTTCCCAAGGCCTGGCTGTTCCGTAATTCCATGGTTTCCTGAGATGCCTCTATATTCTTCTAATAAGAACTCAGGTTGGTATCTGTTACTTGCAGCCAACAAGCCATCGCTACTACAGGCAGCCATGGCTGAGGATCACTCTGTCTGCCCAGGGTCCACAGGCTGCCCCATCACAACATGGGTTTCAGGACCCCTCCCCAGACCTGCAGGCCTCACTGAGCCCTCACCGAGAGCTGGTGACACCTGCTTGTCAACTGTGTCTTTGATGAGATAGTCTTTCTAGGCTTTCTGGGAGACAACTAGCTTACTTGATAAACTAAACTGCTAATGAGAGAGCTGGAAGAAACCTCAGTCCCTCCTTCTTACTCCCAGGTAGCACAAGTAAACTGTAACAAGGGACTTCTGAAGACAATGGCACTATTGTTTTCAAAACCAAGTGGCTTTAATAGGTGCTATTTGGGCTATTTTCGTACAGAAGAGAGAAGGAGTTCTTCTGGGCAAGAGGGGCTTTATTGCGCCCCTGCATTGGCTTTCTCTGAACAGCAGCTTCTTTCCTCCTCGCAGAGGGCGAGCTGGTGAGCAAAGAGCCATCACTAAACTCCATCAGTGACAACTGTAGTTCCAGAGAATGACTTGGAAACCTGCAGCAGCTCCAAAAGTGACTCTAGCTCCAGTGTCAGTAACAAGTGACAAGGAGTTCTGTTTGGGGGAAAGAGCATGGGCATTGGAGTCAAATCAACCACTACTCAAATTCTAGCTCACTGCACACACAGGCAACTTCTGGGCCCATTTCCCCATCTTTAAAATGTAGTTGATGATAGTAGCCACATTGAAGGGTTGAGGAATCATTTGTAAAAAGCCTGGCACACTGTCCCCTCTATATTATTCAGGTTTACCCTTTTCAAAAAGCACCAACTCCACAGCTCATTGTTATTTCTCTCTCTCACACACACACACACAAGCACAAGATAATTCACAAAAGAATCATAATTCTGAGTGTAAAAGTGAGACATTTCACAAGTAGTTTTGTGGAATTATTTAAGTCAGCTGATACATACTCAGTGCCAGCTTTCTAAGAAGGCCATGATGTAAGCTAGAGGAAATTTTCCTATAGTTGCAATTTGGCGAGCATCTCTTGGACTATGCAGCAAATGTTACCAAACAATTGAAAAGCTATCTAAAGCTTCAGAATATTAAAAATTCAGTATTATTTTCCTTGCTACTTACTTTTGAACAGTTGCAAGAAAATGGCTGAA